TTGCTTATTAGATCCAATAACATGATGTTATCATATGTAGAATGATGTTCTAGGAAACGTGAGATGACTCAATGGCCTGCACATTAGATTTCAAAGCTGGAGCCGGAGAGCTGATACAACCCAGATCTAAGACCCCAACAGGTAAAAGTAATCTGCTTTTCATGTTTTCCTCAATTTGGGCTGGAGGAAAAAGCATATTTCAGGTCGGTAGTTGCATGGCTGCAGGTGTTGATATGCTTCAAAAAGACTACACTGAAAGAGCAGCTACAAGTCAAGTCCCGTACAGGGCAAATAATTTAAATGCAGATGAGACAGGGATATCACTTTGGAATTTCTCAGTCTTTGATGGTGGTGGCAGTATTTATCATGCCCTCAGGGATGCACTATTTCTTTTGGCTTATGATTCTGGTGGAGGACACTTCCAGGGGTTTTTCTTTGCTCTTCTTACCGTAATAGCTTTCACTCTACTGGTCAATATGAAGATTCTGCCAGTTGCCAAATATGTCTATTATAACTATGCTTACAGGAACTGGGAAATAACCACAGGTGAATATGTAAGATAGATCCAGGACAAGATTACTTTTAGGGGGAGGGGATAGCTCAAGCTTAGCATGCATGAGATCCTGAGTTCAGTTCCAAGTACCTCCCTCCAAATATAAAGAAATAAACCCAATTACCTCTCCCATAAAAAAAAAATGAAAAAAAGAGAAGAAAAGATTCCTTTAAATTACATGATCCCTGTGTTTGCTAGGTATGCCATAACAAAGTCCCACAAACTGGGTGGCTTAAGCAATACAAATTTATCGTCTTACAGTCCTGGAGGTTTGAAGTCCAAGATCAAGGTGTTGACAGGGTTGGTTCCTTCCCAGGCTGTAAGGGAATATCTGTTCCATGCCCCCCCCGCCCCGCCAGCTTCTGGTGGTCTGCTGGCTATCTTTGGCATTCATTGGCTGCATGATCCCGATCTCTGCCTTCATCTTCATATGGTGTTCCCCTTGTATGAGTGACTCTGTCCAAAATTCCCCCCTTTATATGGCACCAATCATATTGGATCGGAGCCTACCCTATTTCAAGATAACCACATCTTAATTACATCTGCAGCAACTCAATTTCTAAATAAGGTAACATTCTGAGGTATTGGGGTTTAAGACTCCCAACGTATGAATTTTCAACTCATAGCACCCCATAAACTTCTATTTTTAACTAGTTGTGCACAAAGACCTTTTAGGTCCCTTGAGATTAGTACTGGTTTGGGGTCAGTTTCCAAGTATTCCCTAAAGTCCTGGGTTTTTCCATTTCCCTAAGCACAGGAACGTAGTTAATTGACTCAAGATTCCTTTGGGGAAGAGTAGATGATTTACAATTCATTTATAGTAATATTGCTGGGAGCTTCCTTCAGGGTACAACATTCCTTTATTCAAGGGCTTTGGGTCTTAGAATTCAGTGAGTGTCCATAACTTGCCATTCTGGTGACTTAAAATAGGCCTCTTTTTGCCAGACCTGGAGTTTTGCTTTGTGTTTTACAAACCAAGTAGGGCCTTAGTAGGTTATATTTCATCATTCCTGCTCTGTTGCCTTGGTACTGCCCCTTGGTCCCTGCCAGCCCAGGATCCCACCATCTCTACTGATATCAGGGGTTCCATTTCAATGGCCGCATCTCTCAGCTTCACTCCCAGTCAATGGAAGATATACACTACAGAACTTTCAAGATAAGGTGTTCTTTTAAATTCTTTTGTGAAAGGAATGTTCTCTGAGCAGTTTTGTAGGGCAAAGTTAGGAGATGAGTAGATCGCGCATATGATAAATCTATACCAACATTTCTATCTTCACATGTTTTTGGATTCATCTTCTAATGCTATACTAAGGAATTTTTAGCATTTCAGTTTAAATGTAGACTGCTACTAAGCCCAGGTTTCACCCAACCAACCAGCTGAGAGCCACTCAACCCAACCACTCAACAGCACAACTGAGAGCCACTCTTAGCTACTAAAGCCAATATACTGAATCTGGAATCTCTAGAATGCACGTATTAATAAGTTCAACTAAATGAAAATACAATTATGTTCTTTTCTTCCTGATCTAATACGTTTAGAATCCAGTCCACACACATTCCCCAGGTTTCTGCTGATTCAAATTAGCAAAATCTTACAATTCTTCTGTAAGCCTTCTCTCAGGTCAGATTTTATGATTGCCATCTGAAGCATATTGGGATCTGACTCTAGTCATAGATCTGGTAGCAATAAGGGGTAGTGGATGGGACATCAGAAGTACTGGCATTCCATTTCAAGGCAACTACCCCAGGATCTCCAAGTAAGATAAGAAGTCATTCAACATCCACACAACTATTGATGGATACTGGAATACCACTGGAGGGAAACCTAAGGGCTCCATCCATATCCTTGCAGGAGAAACAAAGTTGCTGAGAATGACCCCTTAATCACTTCTTCCTTCCACGTCCTTGTTTGTGCATCTAATTGGCAAAACTTAAATTACATTCAGAACTTTGGTTTCAAGGAAGTGTATGCAGTTTTAACTTTCCAGCCTCGGGACTACAAGAAAGCACATTAGAAAGAGGTCGGAATGAAAATAAATACCCATTTACCATACCCACAAATTTCTTTCCATTGGCCCAAGTACGTCTGATGACCAGACAAGCCCTCTCCCAGTTTTAGCCCCTTTGACAGTTGACCACAAGTACATCATCTGTCTGGCTTTGAAGATTACCTCTCTTCCTGATCTCAGAGGAACCTAAAATGTCCTTCTCTTCAGAGTTGTTTTGATAATTACACAATCTTGTCCTCAGCCACCTCTTCAACCTAATCTACTACTCTTCTCTTTGGTCCACTCTGTTCCAGCTGTTCGTTCGTTTTAAACAGACTAAGGATGTTCCACCAAAAGGCCTTTGTACTTTATTCTTCATGTCTGGTAAGTTCTTCCCCTAGACATCCACATGGTTCTTTCTCACTCCATTCAGGACTCTGATAAATTAATGTACCTTTATCAAAGAGGCTTACAATACCCATCTACAGCAGCAACATCTACCACTCTTTTTACTTTCCCTGCTTTGTTTTCTTCATCACACTTATCCTCATCCAGAGTATATATCTGATCATCTTTTCCCACTAGAGTGTGAGTTCCATAAGGACAGGAATTTTGTGTTTTCCTTATTACTGCACCCTATATGTTGTAGTAGGTACTTCAGAATGTAGAGATTTGTTGTAGTAAGTATTTCAGAATGAATGGATGCTGTACAAAGAGGAAATTAAACTTTCCCCATTTTCCTAGCTGATAATCAACTTTCCCCATCAATTACTCATATTCTCCTCCAGGTGGTGCTGATGGACCTTTTCAACTGCTAATGTCTAGGAGATACAACAGTAAGTAGTGTTGTAAAGGATTAGAATAAGCTGTTTTTCATAGCCTCTGGTCTGGAGTTCTGGGCTTTTTTTAGATGACACCTATAATCTCCCTTAACTTATTTCTTACTACTGCAGGAGAAAAAAAACATGGGCCTTTACCAAAAGCATTTCAGTACGCCATCTCAATCTTTACAACTCCATAATTAGGATTACCCCCATTTCGGCTATGTGAAAACAAGTTCAGAGTAAGCAGCCCAAGTCTCACAGCAGTAAAAAGTGGAGACTCGATGAGAATACAGGTTTGGCTGTAAACTCCCGCCCCTCCTACAGACTTCTTTTGATTTTATCCACGTTAACTGCTCTCTTGATGAGGCTTCAAGAGAACCACAAGTCTTCCTGAGTTGATAATTTATATTTCAGAGATTTCCATACTTTCTGCCCCTTTAGCAACAGGTTCCCTTTTTCACTCTAGGGCACTTTCTTCCAGAGACTCAAAGTCCACTAACAGCATTTCCTGTCCCAGGTGCAGGGCAATGTGCTAAGTCTGGCTGCAGTGCCCAAGAGATAAGAATCTTCCAAGTTGGCTGTTGTCCAGACTCATCATCCTCAGTGTAGTAAAGCACAGGCCAGGAAGACAAAGAGCAGGTGCATCTGTGAAAGGAAACAGAAAGCCATCTGGTCCTCAAGGAAAGGATGTTTTCAATTCTTCCTCTGGGCCCAGAGCTAAGGTGATACGGAAGTTTGGCACTGGAAGTTCCTTACATACTGTCTGAGAGCTGGAGAAATTAGGGGCATGAGAGAATAACTGACTCACACAGCCACAAAGAAAATTACTGCCAGATTTGGAATCTCACATCAGGTCTCATGAATCTTTTAATTTTTCTGCTATACTATGTATGAGCTTTCATTTCTAAGGCCATTATTCTAGATGGAGCCAAAACCTCAAGTAGTACTAACTTAGCTCAGTTCTGACAAATTTATGAGATCAGATAAAATTAAATATGTTGTGATTCTGATGGAATGTCTCCTCTCTCCTTTCATTACAAATTCTCATCAGATTCTTAGTCCCTCTTTCTTAAACAAGATTGGTACAACTAGAAAGCTTTTTGGAATTGGGAATGTGTATCTGAGAGCATAAGAAACACCTAGGTTATTGCTTGGTGATTATGCAGAATAGGTACACTTCTTCCTCCAGTAATACTCTGTTCCCCAACTTACAACCCTGCGACATTCACTGGGATTTCTGAAGAACCACTGGAACTGCCCCCTCCTCCCCACTTCCCTCCTGTGAAGCACATTTCTACTAGTGACTGAAATGCAGAAAAGGGTAAATGAAGCTTTAACAGGAAAATTGCACAGCTGCCTATAGAGGGCAAACAAGGCTCATTTTAATCTACAGCTTCTCTATCTGGCTGACTCAGCTAATTCTTCAGTCTGACTACACAGTTCAAACAAGCCTGGCTTTGCTTCCTGTCATGCTAGGAGTCATTGGTTTATGGATGACTCCAGCGCCGTCTGGTTAAAATACCATTCTTCTCTGGGATTAAGAAAACTCAGATCTAGAGACTGTTAAAGGCGTAGTTCTCTTTCAATCAAACACTTGGCTCTGGAGGACTATCCAAGCCAAGGAAAATGAGATGATTTGAATTATGACAGAAATCTTTATTAAAATGTGTCCTTCAATAATATGTTAGCATACATACAATATACACACATACATCTGTACAGTCTTTGACACACCTCACAGATTGCCACCTCAGTTTAACCAATAAATTAAAACTAAAAAGGGGTGAGGGAGGAAATGGGGGTAAGATTAAGGGCAAAGTTTCCATGTTTCATCTCGTAAGAAACTGCAAATTTCTCAGAATTTCCCTGGGGAAAACCTGACCAGAAAATCTTTGAAATGAAATACATAAATCCCTGTCCCCCCAAAAAAGATTCTAAAAGATGCAGTTACAAGTGTGCTTCTCAGAACAGGAGCATTCTTTCCACTTCATACTCTGGCTTCTGCATCTTCTGGCTTCAAGACAGTCTTCCCCTCAGCTGGGGCAGAGAGGTTCCTATGGGCACTTGGGCTCGGTGCACCTTGGGCTCTGGGTGTTGAGGGGCAGGCTGCGGCCTGGGACTGAGGGGAGCCACACTCATCTGAGGTGATGTCTGGCACATCGTCTGACTGTGTATCAGAGCTCTCCAGGTCACTGCGGATGCTTTCCGGCTGGGCCAGGCTGATGTCCCAAGGTTTGCTGGCCAGACAGTCCCTCTGTTCACAGCTTTGGTGTTTGCAGGGGGGATCCTCTTCATTGCTCCCACCACCACCACCACTGCCACCACCTTCTTCTTCATTTTCCGCCATTTGAGCGTGAACATGGAGTGAGTCCTCCGTGCTGCTTCCACTCACCAGCTGATAGTGGCTTGGTTTGGCTTCAATGTCCACTTGGATTTCCATGTTGTTGCATTCTCTGTGGAAACAAAATCCACTTTGCTGAGTCATGCAAGGGTCATGCTACACCTGTTGGTAAAAGCAGTTTGTGGGTTCAGGATTAGAAAGTCCAAAATGTAGGTAAATAGTAGCTCACTTATAGAGAAAATAAAATTTAACCTAACACTCAAATAAGATGGAGAAGAACAATTAGATTTTTTTTGTTGATTTAAAACACATACACATACTTCTGCCAATTTCTTTGAACAACTAAAAATGAGCTTCTAAAATTCAGCTAAGGGTTAGAGCCTCACACTATCTTACTCAAAACATGGAAGTGAATGGAGAGTCACAGCTTTTCACTTCTGTGCCACAATTAGAAGAAACCAGAGTCTCTCCAGTAGGGAGTGCTGCAATCACACCATACCAGACACACTAGCTTCTCAAAAATAAAGAGAAGTAGGCTGCAGGAGCCACATCAAGCAAAAAGCAACATGAGAGCAGAAACCATAATCCCACAGACATCAATGAATACCAATCCAGCTCATTAAGGATCATGTGAATAATTACACTGTTGCAATAGCCAAAGGTGGAGAGGAGAAAGAAAGAAAAGGGAGAAAGAAATAAACCTCTAAAAATCAAGTGCTAACAAGAAGAATCAATCAAGAGATGCCAGACACTCCCATACCAAGAGCTTGCTCGATGAATTCACAGGGTACACACACTATGTATCCTGCTAGATGGTATACAGGGCCCTAACATGAGGCATTGAGCTTTCGAAAGCCAAAGCCAAACCAAAAAATGCAATCTCTCCTAGGCATCTGACTGTTCACATACCTGTCCTGTGGGTTGTAGGAACTGATTATGGAACCGGCCATAGCACGAGTGCTTGCGTTGTCACTAATTGCACCAAGACTGGCTGTGTCTTTGGGGAAAATTTCCTTTTGGACATCGGCTTGGACTTCTAACCTGTGTAAAGAGGGGACGTTTAAGTTAATATGAGACCTGGGTATTCCAAGACAGTCTGCTTCCTGGCACATACCTCTTCCATTATTCTCTTGCATACTGAGTTGATCTGATCTTCTCCAATTGTCAAATAGTTCAAATAGATGCCCATACATATCTCTCTTTCTCTTAAACAACTATTGAAATCGTCCCCTCCTTTCTAACCCCACTGCTACTGCTTAACTTCAGGCCCTCAACATCTCCTGCCTGTGTAATTGCAATTGTGCTCCCTTTTCAGTAGCCCTAAGTCCAAGTCAAACAACTTTCAGATCAGTGGCAACGTGGACAAAGACCTGATTGCTCAAACAGCCCTCTCTTGGCTCTCTTGCTAACTGGCATTTAATGTCTGCCTGACCTGCCTCCAAGCTCTCTCCAGTTCCATCTCTCACCATAGGTCCTACATCATAATCACACTGAATTTTTTCTTTCTTTTCACACTTATACACGTTTATACCTCCATGACTTTACACATGCTAGTCCCTCTCTCTGGAAGTTTTCTTTCTCTACATGACAAACTCATACTCAGTCCTTAACAACAAAGGAAGTATCAACTCCCCTCACTCTCCCAACAAACCCTTACTTCCTGCTAAGTGCTCCCACAACATCTACCTATTTATAAAATCAGTTTACGCATCTCCCTTCCACTCATCTGTGAGCTCCAAAAAAGGAGAGACCACATCTCATTCACACTTTACCCTCCATGTCTTACACATACTAGGTACTTAAATTTTAGCAATCAAATTACCCCCAGGCTATGAGACTGAAGGACATACAGGAGCCAATCTCCTACAAGAGTAGCAAACTTTCCCAATGGTGTCTCAGAGCTGAGAACCCATCGCTTTTCCTTTCTTGGCTCTAACACCATTTGGTTGCATGCTTAAGTGTTTCCTCATAATGGGTTTCACAGTCAAACCCATCTGACTGATTCACTTCCTATAAAAGGCTTTCACAGAACTGGAACAGCTGGACTGGTGGCTAAGTTGCAGTTTCAGCAAGCCAGTCTCCAATTATGTCTGTCTGCTTATTTACAGGGGTGTTGGTTTTAAGAGAGCACAGCAGTGAATTCTCCAGCATGTGGGGGTGGGATCTCCTAACAAGAGACAACCAGAGTCATGAGACGCAGACAGGTCAGCAGTTGCCTGCAGCTACACATTCAGTCAACCTCCATCCTGCTGCCTGTGTCTTTGCTCTGCTAATCCAGCCTCAAATGCCCTTCAACTATGTGCCATGGCCCAGGAAAATGAGGCAGTGCAATGGAAAGGGCATTCAGCTCTGTCACAGAATCACTCTCAGTTGGAAGAGGCCTTTCACAAAGGCCATCTCCTTAGGTGGTTCCCAGAGGCTAGTCCGTGCAACGGCTATGTTAGAATCATCTGGGGAGCCTTTTCAAGAAAACACAGACCTCTAGGTGCCACTCTGGGAGATTCTAATTTATTAATTCTGGGATAGGGCAGTAAAATCTATTTTTAAAAGGCTCTCAGGTGATTGACAGGTAGTCAGGTGTAGGATCTAGTCCATCTGCCATCTGTTGCTTGACTCCTTCTAAGAGCCAAATGGCCATCTGTTCTCACTTTAAACACTTCCAGGGATATGCAGCTCAGCATCTACTAAGGCATTCTATTTCTTCTTTGGACTTTTACATAGATTTTTCCTATATTCTCTATAATGAAACAAAATTAGTTTCCCTCTAGCTTCTGCCAAATTGTCTTAATCTATCTCTTAGCATGAGGCAGAAGTCTAATCCTTTTTTCCAGTTCAACACCCTTGAGATATCTGAAGCAAGCATCTCCTCTCCTTCTCCTACTTTGTTTTACACCACCTTTACCCCTCCCCAGGCCTCTGTTCTCCAGTGCATTCAGATAACCACTTCTCATGTAACATCTGTTATGCACCTCTGAATATGTCCTGGTTTATCTAACTGGTGGAATGACCGAGCAAGTCACAACCTTTTTAGTCTTAAAGCTTTACATATACTCAACACAAGTTCATTGAATTGATTTCCCTTATGTATCAAATGGGCATCAGAATTGGAAGGTTATAAGTATCACAGCACCAATAAGCCAAAAAGATACAGCATAAATGCTGTTCAACTGAAAGCCAGTGAGGAGCCTAATGGAGAGCACAACCTTGGGAATTCTACCAAAATGCATGCTTTCCCTTCCTGCTGGAGGTAGCCGAATCTAGTAGAGGGAGGATCTGAAGTCAAGATTATTCTTTATATGGAGCTGCTATGGTGCAGTGGGAAGAAACACTGAAACTTACGTTAAGTCACTCAACCTTTCCAGCCTGTCTTCTATTTGTAAAAGTTAAAAAAACAAAACAAAACAAAAACCCACAAAAAAAAACACACCATTGATGATTAAGTGACAAAATGAGATGATATATGGGGCATGCCTTACACAGAGAAATGGCTCAATACGGTATGTTACTTCTTATAATTACAGCTGGTTCTGTCAGAAATTATCTATTTGCTTACCTGCTGTATTTTCCCTTGCCACTGGAAAGAATGCCACCACTCAGTGTGCCTCCTGAGAGGGCTGCAAAGCTGGCTGTTTCGCTGTATGGACCCTGCACAACACTGAGTCCATCTGTAGGGCTTCCACTGGTGCTCAGTACACTAGTTAGACCTTCAATGCTACTTTCCCCAATGCTGGGATTCTTGAGGGCTCGCCAGGCATCTGCCACTGGGGATGGAACCAAACATCTCAACTGAAGATAGCATAGCATCAAAACAGAGTCTGGCACTTCCAGCAGTGACTCTTCAGAGTGGAGAATATTCATGTAGAAAAATACTCATTTATTCACTTAATGAATGATAAACTACCAGCAACCACCACATATCAAGTGTTTTAACATATGTTCACATTTAATCTTCCCAGTAACTAGGGACTGATAGCCCCAATTTTAGATGAGGAAATAAAAGCTTATAACTAAATGATTAGTCACACAAAACTACAATCTGATTCCAAGTCCACTATTCTTTTCATTACACCATAGATGCCATCCAAACAAACATGAAGATTTCAAAATATATTTTGGTCATGTGCTGATTCTAGTAGGAAGCTTCAAAAACCTTTGGGGATCTCTGTGCCCCAGGTGAGTTAATGGTAAAGTGGAAACAACATCAAAGTATAAGTCAGAAGACTTGCTATAGTTTCAGCTCTGCAGAAGCTCTTAAACCCATTTAACAGATGTTGACACAAAGGCTTGAAGAAGTTCCCATTAAACGAGGATAATAACAGCCCTGGTCCTCACTCTTTAGAGCTGTTGTAAAAACCAAGTGAGATAATAACTATGTAAAGTCCTCTGAAAATTATAAAGTACTGTGAAGATATAAGACTTTATTATAATCACTACTATTACCAGCATACTTGGAGTTACTTGGAATCCTACTAGTTTGTACCTGCCACACAGAGGCAAGTACCAGATGAATTAACCTAATAACTCTGGAACAAAGAAATGAACAAGCTAAAAATACTTTACCCCTTATAAAGCTCATTATCCAAAGTAATCCAGTGACTCTCTGCACAATGTGCTAAATTTTACCGATTTTTATCTTCGGTCTTATAAATTCAAAGGGAAACTAAGGTTGCCCTTTTACCTGTGATTGGACCATCATCTTCATCAAACTCTATTTTCACTCCCTTTCCATTGGCTGTGCTAACTCCACAGCCACCTCCACGACAGAGAGAAATGGGCACAACCCCATAGACGTAAGCCAGCATAATAGGGACACCAATACCTGTGAAGGGAAAGAAACATGTTAGCAGTCCATCAGGTTGCAGCTGCCCTGAATTCTCCTTTCCAGCCCAAGATAGACAAACTTTACGAAGGGCCAAGGAAAGACAGAAGATGGGTATGCTAAAAAGGTGGCTAGCCATATGACCTTGGTCATACCTTTCTAGGGTTGCCAACAATCAATGTATATATAGTGCCCAGTAAAGTTTATGTTGCCTTTATTTTCCCCCTTACATTCACTGCTGAAATGCTCATCCAAGAACCAATCAATAAAACATTAAATAAGTCACTCCTAGGGTTTAGGATCCCCCCAGAGTATTAATTCCAAAATCTTACTGCTGTGGAAGGCAGAATGGCTTAGTTGTGAAGAGACCAGACTCTGAAGTTAGACTGCCCTGATTCATGTCCCAGCTAAGTGACCTCAGGCAAATTACTGCATCTTTCTGTTACAACTGTGCTGCTGTGAGGATTAAGTGAATTAATACAGGTAAAACATCAGACCTGGTCCTGGCGAGTCTCAATAAATGTTAAGTTATACTAAAATTATCTTAAAACAAACCCTCATGCCTCCCAAAATACTGTGAAGCATTAAGCAAGTCAAAAGTAACTTTCTTTTGTGGGTTCCATGGCAGGTGGAGAAGGAAAAGGAAAGGTGAAAAACAAGGCCTTAAAGTAATATTCTTTAATTCAACCCTTTTTATATGCCAGATGGAATTCTAGGCACTAACTTAAGAATGAAATATCCCAAACTCTGATAATTTAGTTTGGCTGATAATTACAATAATAGTGCCTAATAAAGTTAACTCCCAAGGTGTGTTTGACATAAAATGTAGGAGCTTCCAGGGTGAAACATCTGGCCAGTTGGCTAAACTGTGACTTCAGAAAGCGAATGGGAATGGGGTGGGATTGGGGAGGAGTCATGGTCCTGGCTAGCCTCTTACCAACACTAACTGCAGCAATAACTGGGGATGCAATGACTGACAAAGTCACTCCTCCCGTGATAGCCAAATTCCTCTTGTGCTTGGAGGTTTTCCTACCTTCATATCTGCTATGAATCTAAGAATAAGAAAGAAAATCCAGGTCAGCTGGTTAGGACACCAATCTTTTTGCTGAAGAGAAAAAAGACAAGTGAATGTTCCCCTTATAAGTTATCTACATATAACATATTCCCCCATCTCAAAGAGGCATCTTTCTCAAATTTCAACCTAACTCAGACCAGAATAATATAAAATAATACAGAAAAAGTTAATACAAGAAGAGACAAAATAACTCAGGGGACTAAAGTAAGCATTTCACCTTTAAGTCAGTGAGAAAAACCAGGCCCAGGATATTAATAATTTCAGATCTCTTGGGGGTATATGAAAATCCATTTAAGAAATTAATGTTATTTTTATCCAACAACCAGCTGATTTTCAGGTGGCTCTGAAATATAAGTTTCTCCCTATCTCCTTCAAACCATTACCAACAAACCTGAAGATAGAACATGCATAGGACTCAGCATATCTTACCTTCCTGCCAACATAAACAGGAATGCCAATGACCATGGCAGGAATGGCAATGCCGGCAATGAGGGAAATCCCCACTGGAGCACCAATCAACGTGCCCAGCTGCCAAAGAATTTTCTTCTTACGGCTCCATGGCTTCTTGCCCCAGAATGTGCAGCCAGAGGGGCTGCAGAGGAAACATGCCAAAGTTAACATCAATATTAGAAATGCAGCTATTGGGGGGAGGGATAGCTCAGTGGTAGAGTGACTGCTTAGCATGCACGAGGTCCTGGGTTCAATCCCCAGTACCTCCATGAGTAAATAAAAAAATAAACCTAATTACCACCCCCCACCAAAAAGAACCAAAAAAAAAAAAAAGGAAAAAAGAAATGCAGCTATTATCACCAGAGGGCTTGATAAGAGCAAGAGCCTTCTTTTCAAAAGGAGCAATTAACAGTTACAAAAAGTTACAAGAAATGAGTATTATAAGAGGGGAAGCAAAGGCCAAGTCCAGACTATTAGAATTCTAGCTCTTTACTCTTATTCTTTTGGAAGGCAGGCCTCTAAACTTAAAACCTCTTTTCCATTCTTTTCTGCTGAACTCTGTCGTCCCTAATCCTTCACCACCACTAATCCTACTTCCTTGACTGATACTACTCGGGATCCTGCACAGTCTATGCACTTGATATCTCACTCAAACTCATCACGTCCTGCAGCTAATGAGCTCTCTCTGATTATTGCATAATTTTCTTGGCATGTGTCCTACTACATCCATTAGATACTACAAAATCATGTTCCTGAGATAGGATATAAAAAAGACTTTATCATACTCTTTATGTCAGTTTCATACTCCGAGTTTGGCTACTTTAACACTCAGCCCTCCTGAGGCTGTTTTTGCTCACTCCCTTTGTGGGATGGGATAAGCAATTTTGAAATTAGGGATCCTATCTTATGAACCCCTGCGTCCCCAGTAATTAGTACACTGTAAGTACTCAATTTGCTAAATTGGAAATAAAAGTGTTTTATCCACACAGTGAATGTTAAGTTTATAAATATTAACTCATTCAGGACAATATTTTAATGACTACTACTACATCCAAGAAGCTATAAAAAGGTAACTAGAGCCTTAAGAAACTTACATAATTTAACAAAATTAGACATATAAATAAAGTAAAAGTCATGATGATGGTTTATAAAGGAACATTTAAAGAATGTCAGTAAAGAAGAATGAGGCAGCAAAAGCTGAGGGAAGGCATCACAGAAGAAATGGCATTTAAAGTGGCCCTTGAAGGGTGGGTAAGAACAGAACAGGCTGAGATAAAAGGGGGCTGCTACAAGGGTGAGGTGTTTAGAAAGCATTTCAGGCAAAGGAAAGAACATGAACAAGTATCGAGGTAAGATAGCACAGAAGAGACACAGATAATCTGGGCTATAGCATTTATAAAAGCAAAATGGAAAAGCCAGAAAGCAGATTGGGGCCAGACTGGAAACCTTAAAAGTCATGCCAAGGAAACTGAACTCTATCAATGAAAAACAGTCACTGAAAGTTGCTGAGCTGGAGAAAACATGGTAAGAGGAGTGCTTCAGAGGAATTTTTTACAGCTTTCTTATGCTATAATGAGGACAGACAACTATGTCTCTTTGACATCCTTTTCCCTAAATCAGTAAGAGAACAAGACTATAAAAACAATGGACATATTTCTCATCTCACCTGAGGTAATGCAAGTCCGAAATCTCTTTCATACAAAGCCAACAGAATTCACAGCCACACACTGCACAGGTCATATGATTACAGCTTCCATCATTCATCTTGATAATGTAAGCACTGCATCGTGGGCATGGCTTTATGTCATCTGCTAAGGAGGGTGGAAGAATGGGTAGAAAAATATCCCTAGTTAAACCTAGTTTGATTTTATTATTCCTAGGAATATGCATAAGAAATGAGGAGGCAGTCAAGAATTCTTGACTAAGGATCCAAATTGTGTAACCCACTTCACTGGAAGGCTGGCTATACATCTAGACCTCAGGAAATTTCATAAAATGGATCTTGTCTTGTATTGAGCTGCCCATCCCCTAAACAGGCATCTTACATAGCATTTGAGCCACACTGAGCAAAGAGACTTCCCTAAAGAGAAAGGTAGTTCCAAGGAAAACGGAATTTCACCAACCAATAGGCTGGCAGAATCAAAAGCACAGTCCTACAGGAAGAATAGTCTGCAGCCTGGAATTGACTTTGAGTTTTGAAAAACTTTAGTTCAGGAAACTCATTTCTCAGGCTCAACAAGTATTGTGATTTGCTGTTAACACAATCCACAGTCCCTTCCCATGATACTTTCAAATTCAAAACCTGAAAACAACTGAGTATGCTATGTAGCTACACCTGGTAATTTTCACAGCAAGTTAGGAACTATCTTATTAAAATGACAATAATTTAGGAGATTATGCTGTGCCAGGAAAAAGTGAACGGTAAAATCTTTCCTGCTAGTTCTCCCAAATGACATCAGTGAAATAAAGCACATTTATCAAAGGCAATAAACCCACTGACGTTTTTAAATAGGTTTACTCTGACATGTCAAGGCTGGAAATGGATGTGCGATATTCCACATTTTAGGGTTAATCATTAATCTATAGTAATATTATTTCCTTTCCTTAAATCTGTACCCTACTTCAAAAGCCATGATGCACTTAAAGCTAGCAGGAAAATAGTACAGGTTTAACACTAATTAAATGTCTTTCTGCTCACAGTAAAAGTTTTGAAAAAGCCCCTTGCAAAAGGACCTAATTGCTCTCCAATTTGAGACATATTATTAAGAAGGCAGAAACTAGAGAATTCAGTTCTGCTTTATTCCAGTTTTACTAGGTTGGATAAACTATCAATGATCAGAGAGAAGCTATATATCAAATACAATTTTGAAAGTATTACCAAATATTTTCTGCTCTCTAATCCGAGAAAACGCTTCAGTTAGACAATAAGGTAATCTCTCCCAGTTTGGGGTTCACATAATGAAATACCAAATAAAGACACAAATGAGATAATACCGACTTATACCTGGTCCAGATTCTTGCCCATAACTAAGACCTGAAGTGTGCTTGGTCCGAACTCGCAATGTCTGTGCCCTCTGTTGACGGGCCATATCGCATGTCTGATTTGGATGCCATATTTGCTTGCAGTGGTAGCAGAATTCAGTCTGGCAGCCTTCCCTCTCACAGGTCAGCTTTGGGCAGCTGGCACAGCCATAGGCAATAACAGCATAACTGTGTAAGGAAATAGGAAGAGATATCAGTAAGGTAAGACATTATTCATCAGTTCCAGTGAGGTAACACTGTTTGGCACCCCTCTACAACTTCATACGAGGTAAAGAACACACATAACACACATGCACAAGCATGCCTAACAAACTGTAAAACGTATTCTGCATGAGGAAGTAAATTTCTTCTTGAGATTCTAAAACCACAAATCATTTATTTCCTGAAAAAACAGGGGAAAATATCATATTTATCCTGAATTTCTATCATTTGGTCATAGTTTAAGTTGCTTTAGGAGCAGTTTGTCACATCAAATTTCATTAAAAAAGGGTACAAAACCAGTTCCTTTTGATGATTTGCTGTATTTACAGAAATTAAAATTTGTTTAAAGAACAGAATTTGTAAAATGCAGCGCTATAGCAAAAACTAAAGCAAGTATACTTCTCCTTTTTTATTGAGGTTTAGTTGATGTACATTATATAAGTTTCAGGTGTACAACAACTTTTAAAGGCTATATTCCATTTATAAGTATTATAAAATATTGGCTACATTACCTGTGTTGTACTATATATCCTTGTAACTTATTTATTTTATACATAGTAGTTTGTACCTCTTAATCCCCTATCCCTATCTTGCTATCCTGCCCCACCCCTCTTCCCTTGCTCCATTGGTAGCCACTAGTTTGTTCTCTATATCTGTGAGTCTGTTTCTTTTTTATTATATCCACTAGTTTGTCTTATTATTTATTTATTTTTGTTTGGAAAGGGATTCTTTTATTGTGGCAAAAGACACACAATGTAAAATTTACCATTTTAACTATTTTTAAGTGTACAATTCAGTAGCATTATATTCACATGGTTGTACAACTTGTTTTATGTTTTTAGATTCCACATATAAGTGATATCATCTAATATTTTTCTTTCTTTGACTTATTTCACTTAGCATAATACCCTCCAGTACATCCATGTTGTTGCAAATGGCAAAATTCCATTTTTATGGCTGAGTAGTATTCCATTGTGCATATATGTCTGTGTATGTACACCACATCATTTTTATCCGCTCATCTGTTGATGGACACAGACTACTTCCATATCTTGGCAACTGTAAATAATACTGCTATGAACATTGGGGTGCATGCATCTTTTCAAATTATTTTTTTCTTTTTTTTCTTCTCTTTTTTTTCTTTTTTCTTTTGATAAATACCCAGGAGTGGAATTGCTGGGTCATATGGTAGTTCTATTTTTAGTTTTTGGAAAACCCTCCATACTGTTTTCCATAGTGGCTGCACCAATTTACATGGCCACCAACAGTGTATGAGGGTGCCCTTTTTTCCACACCCTCACGAACATTTGTTATTTGTAGTCTTTTTGATGATAGCCATTTTGACAGGTGTGAGGTGATACCTCACTGTGGGTTTAATTTTCATTTCTCTGATGATTAATGACAATGAGCATCTTTTTATGTGCCTGTTGGAAAAATGTCTATTCAGGTCTTCTGCCCATTTTCCAATTAGGTCATTTGTTTCCTTGATGGTGAGTTGTATGAGCTGTTTATATATTTTGGATATTAACCCCTTGTCATTAGCAAATATTTTCTCCCATTCAGTAGGTTGTCTTTTCATTTTTGTTGGTGGTTTTCTTTGCTGTATAAAGGCTTTGGAAGTTTAATTAGGTCCCATTTATTTATTTTTGGTTTTATCTCCTTTGCTTTAGGAAACAGATCCAAAAAAAAATTTGCTATGATGTATGCCTAAGAGTGTTCCACCTATGTTTTCTTTCAGGAGTTTTATGGTTTTAGGATTTTCATTTTTAAGCTTCACAGTGAAGTTGGTCTGACCACAGACTGAGACACAATAGACAGAGATGGATTTGTGATCAACTTCTATTGAAAGCTCATTTTGTCTTTTCATAATTTTTTTCCAATTCAAATATATACCTTGAAATAGCTTCTTTCTTGAAAGGTTCTAGAATACAAGAATACCACTCATCTATCTTATTAATTAACATCGAATATGGCCATATCTCCCCTCAATCCCTTCTGACACACATTCTTAGTAAAGATGGGCAATTCAGAATCTACCAGCACCAGCATCAATTGTTTCTTATAATTCATGTTTCATTACCAAGAATTCCTTTCCTGCAAACAATCCAATATTAGCCTTTCTGACTAATTCTAAATATGTCAACTAAATGATCAGATTACCCTAACAAGTGGACATTTGTTTAAATAAAAACAATTTTTTAAGTAATTTAAACAAACAAATGAAGAAGGGAAGACAGCAGTTGTTGAAAGTTCAAACAATTTTTAGATACATCAATGATTGCAGGCTTAGGTGTTGCCATCTGGGCTTTGTTAACCCCTATTCCATATTCCATCCCCTCCTGCAATAGCCAAAGACCTCAAACAACTTAAACAAAAGACTAACACAATTTTCTTGGATTTAATCTAGTTACTTTGCTTATTCAATTGTACATTAGATATTCATAATAGCAACTCAAGTTTTCAGGTTTATCATAGATTCTACAAGTCAATTTGAGAATGACATTGAAAATACCAATGACAAGGTATCATCTATGTTACATAATACAGGCTGTATTAAAACTCTTCTCAGAAAGACCAAAGTGAGAAGAGGTCAATGTATGAATGCAAATGATTCATATCCTGTAGGAGTTCTGAGCAAATTTATTCCACCTAGCTGCAAAATAACTACTAAAGATAAACTACGTTTCTCCTTAAGAAAATGACTTGCTTGCTATTTTGTGTTACATGAGAAAGGTACTGGATGATCTCAGAAAAGTATGAAGGGAACTTCTGACAATACACAATTTAGATAAACTTCCAAGTCAGAAAGCCTTGAACATTTCATGATCCATTCCAACCTCACATGGTGAGAGTAAATATTTATTAACAGATTCTTTTTTTTTTCTCCAAAGAACATTTGATAGGATTGACAATGTCAATTTTGATTGTGGAGTTTGGTTGCAAGGAAGTAAAATAATCCCAAATACTCATGAACCCACAACAACCTATTACTATGACACAGAATTACTCAGGGCACGAGACTTGACATTCCTGTTTTTGGGTGCTTGGTCTGGGCTCATTGCCCTGACTCATACTGCATGACACTGGGCTAATTAAAATTTCCAAACCTTAGATTCTATCCCTAAAATGGAAGTACAGGTGCGTGCCACCTTCAAGTGTAACTGAACATGCTTTAAAACTGCATTTGAGATATTGCCCTGAAAGGTATGGTATAAATACACAGCATATTTTGTCCTACTTCTTGGCCTTTGCATACTCTATTCCTTTTGCCTAGGAATGTCCTTTCCTTACTTCTTGCCCTGGCAAATACTTATCCATTTAATAACCAGCTCAAATGCCGTCTTCTCTATAAAATCCACTTAACCTCTCCAGGCATCTGGTTGCCTACTTCGTGTCTCTGAATAATTACTTTTTAATACTTATCACATTATATTGTAATTATCTGTTTATATGTATGCTTTCCCAACCAGACAAGGAAAAGCGTCATTCATTTTTAACCTCCAAGGTCTAGCACACTGATTCATGCTTAAAATACCTGTGTTGAATGAATGACAGAGACCCTCTCCTGTCTGGGTTTTTTACCTTTCCCAGGTCAACAATCTGGGCTAACTCTTTTCCTGGATGATTACTCTCCCCTAAAGCAGTCTTTAAAACTTATCCACATATCTATTGGCTTTCTATATGCCAGGTACTTTAACTTAACTCAAAAATTTTGTATAAGCCCATCTGAGGGCTAAACATGTAAGTTCTGAACAGGGCAATCTTCTACCCTAGGTAGTTGAAAAAAACTTCATCCTTGAGACCAAATCTGCCTTGACCATCTTGTTTCTTCTCTTCCATGTCCTACATCAAGCCTCTTTCATATCCTGCTTTCTTGGCTGAACAGAGCATTCAGGTTTTCTAATTAGAAGCTAAATGGAAGGTATAGGGAATTAGATGTTGCTAAGAATACAGAAGCATCCTCCCCCGACACCCCCACCTTAAGTTCATAAAACTTTAATTCATTTTGTTAATATTCTATCTTCAGAAACATCATAATGTGTGCCAAGCTAGACCACATCATTAACTTGCTCTAGCCCTGGGGAAAAAAATCCCATTAGTATGAATTTGATTATGCTCCAACAGACCCTGGTAGTCAAAGAAATGTGTTCCTATATTATGTCTGTACTTCTCAGCTCCAGCCTATATAACTTCATTTATAAATGGACCTTAAGCATGTATAAGGGTGGAACACATTGGCCAAGTTGTCACAATGAGCCATATTCTTACTATATTCCTTTTTACTGCCCTAGTTCAAATCCATGTCACCTCTTGGCCAGACAACTGCAAGAAGACTATTTTCTGGTCTCCTTATTCCATACTCAAATCCAAATTCAAATTCCAGAAGTTTATCTATCATGATGTTACTCTTCTGCTTAAGATCCTTCAATAAAAAAGAAAAAAGTCCTTCAAATCTAAACTTCTTTGCACAGCAGAGATAGACCTATCAACTTGAATCCAGTCTACCTTTTCAGATCAATCTTGAGTCACTTCCCAGATCATACTCCCGTATCATATCTCCAGAGGCTAACCAAACTAGACTCCAGCCTTAGTCTTGTACTTTTATATCTCCATGCATTTGCTCATAACACTCTGGTGTTTAAAGTGTTTGAGAAAGATGCCTTTTTCTCTACCCTAATCCTTGTCCAACTGGTATGAATTTCTACTCATATTCTTCAAGTCCTGATCAAATATCAACTCCTCTGTAAAGTATTTATTGACACCATAATGCAAAATCTTTTCATCTATCCTCTAAGAGCACTTGTATTTTCTTTAGTATTTATTACATTCCATTTGTAATTATCTACCTATCTACCTACCTACCTATCTCCTTTACCAGGGTTTGGCCTCCCTGTCAAGAGGACAATGTCTAAGCTCTTTTTGTAATATCCAGTGCTCCCCTAACGTTCTACACCATGTAATTCTCAAAAGTGTCTGCTGAATGATCACCTGT